GTGTTCCCAACACCCCTCCTCCCCTACTTACCCGAATGACACTGACGAAGTCATCGAACTGGGTTTCCAGGGGAGCCCCATGCTCTGGCAGGGGCAGGCGATGGTACCTGCCAGGTGAGGGGGAGCAACCCATCAGGGAGGCCCCATACCCTGGGCATCCCCCACCCCTGCATTAAATTCAGCCCCACCTGGAGGTGGTGAGACTGAGGCCCAGATCACCATGCCCAGCACCCTGGGGTCTTTGGTACCTGTAAGTGGGCTGCAGGAACAGGGGCTGTTTGTACACACCCTCCGTCACATGTACATCATCCTCACCCCGGATGGTCACAGCATGGGGCTCCCCCCGCAGGTCCTCGATGTTGTGGTACACGTGGTACGTGTTTTGGCTCAGCTGGGCGAAGTCGTGGATCTGCATGGAAGTATGGGGGCCAGAGGGTCCATGACAGACCTTCAGGTCCCTCCTGGCCTTCCTGGCTCAGCTCTGGAGTGACCAGGTCACACAGAGGCCACAGACAGGCTGCTTCTCCCCCAGGGGTAGCTACATGGGCAGGGGTGCTCTCTATGACCTAGGCGTCCAAAGGGCAGCTATGCACTGGGGTCAGGCAGGAGTTAGCTAAGCCACCAGACTGAAGGACAGGGCAAGACTCGGTCAGCTGGGAGCTAGAGAGGAGACCTAAAAGGGAGGCTGGAGATGACCAGTGGTCACAGCATGGGGCTCCCCCCGCAGGTCCTCGATGTAGAAGTTTCGGGGGGCACTGTGACCCCCATACTCTATTGGCATACCTCTGTAGTGTGTCAACAGCCTCAGAGACCTTGACAAACCTTGTAGAAGGGTGGACAGAGGAACCTCAGAAACCAACAGAGGCCCACAAGAGAAGTGACTCACCCCGGGTCTGACAGCTCACAGGAGGCTGAACTTCAATCTCAGATTCCTAATCTAGTGCTCTTTACACTCCACCAGACCGCTCTCTAATAAGGATGCTGAGTGTGGAGGGGCAAAGCAGGGTGGGAAAGGGGCAGAGGCAAACAGAGCTGGGAACAGGAAGTCCTCCCTCCAGCTGCCCATGAGCTAGCCTTGTAGTCAGCCAAGCAGGGCAGGACAGTGGGTTAGGATGAGCCAGTGAGAGCAAAGCTGAGCTGTGGGCTACAGTCTCAACTCAGCTGCCCAAGGCTTACAAGGAAGGGGAACCCACACCCACACCCGTGGCCCTCACCTCTTTTCGGATGGCCAGCTCTAAGCTCTCGGCCTGGACCCCAGGTCCAAGGCCCTGGAGGTTCTCATGAAGGCTCTGCTTGTCCCGAGGTGTGTAGGGCATAAAGTCCTCATCAGCTCGCAGAAACAGTACAGGCTCCTCCCGCACACAGAACATGATGCACTCCTGCCAGGAGCCCCAGGAGGGAGGAAGTCATCACTACTATCGGGCATGGACTCGCGATCCACTGCCCCACTCTGGGCCTTTGAGCAGGCTGTTCCCCCTCCTCAAAGGCTCATTACCCCATTCTGTCTCTGAGACCTGAATCCTACCCAAGAAGGAAAGCTCAGACCTGCTCCTGACCCTCCCTCCTCTCAGAGCCAACAGTCCTTCATCTGGACCTCATAATGTTAATTCCCACTTTGTAGTAACATTATCAATGAACACATCTTTTCTCCTATAGTAGATTACAGCTTCCTCGCAGGTAGAATCATATCTGGTCATTGGCATGCCTCCACAATTCCTAGCACACAGCCCACAGATAAATCAAGCACTTGATGACATCAGTTGAGGAAATGAATGCCCAAGGCCACAATGCTATCATTCAGTCACTGTGCATCATACAGATGGAGAGAGATATGTAGGCAGAAACCACCCTGGAGGAACCTGCAGTCAAGCTGGGAAGGTGGGACCTGCCCCCAGCTAACAACTCCATCTCACTCTGGTTCATTCAAAGACTCTGGGAGCCTGCGATGACCCTGGAATCACATAAGACCCTCAGCCTCTGTCCTGGAGACAAAGCCCCACCTCAACAGTAGGGAGGAGAGAAGAGTCATTAAAAGCAGGGACTTAGAATCCGGAGGTCTGGGTCTGGGTCCTGGGACACCACTCATGAGCTGTGTCACTTATCCTCTCTGGATCTCAGTTTCCTCCTCTATAAAATGGGAGAGTAACTACCCTGCCCTCATAGGGTTGACATGAGGCTCTAAGTGTTAGCTGTGTTCATCATCCTTGACTCTCTCGTTATGACCTGGCTCCTCTTGTCACCCTGTCACCCTCGTCACTTCTCTGAGGTTCTCAGAGTGCAGTGTATAAGGAGCTTCTAATCTTGAGGCTCCCAGGTCCACAAAGGACAGTGCAATACATATTTGCTCGGAATTCCCAACCATGCTGACCACAAAGACCATCATGGTGTTCAAGGCCTGGTAGGGCCTGGTCCAAGTCATCAGCCACCTTCCTCATCATGTGGCCAAGACCCTCCAAAGCCTCTGAAGTTGCCTCTCCTGGGAGTCCCTTTTCCCAGATTTGGGGGGCTAGCCCCTGCCTCAGAAATGGCCATGCTTACCTTATGTCCATCCTTCTGGAGTTTCTGGAGGACCTGCTTGAACCCCAAGAGGCTGGGCTGCCCCATGCCAAATACGGTAAGCCCGCCCCGCACTTGCCGAAAGTTGGGGGCCCCACAGCTCCGCATGGTGCCCAGCAGGTCTATCTTCTCAGCAACATCCCGCACCAGGAAGTAGCGACCCTGGCAATGGGAGAGCCACAGGGGGTCATTGAGATGACTCAAGGAAATCTACAGGCAGTGCTCTGTCCCAGGCCCAAAGGATGGGGATCAGGGAGATGGGGTAGGGGACATGGTCCTCAAGTTGTCTGCAGGCTCAAGAAAAAACAGACAAAATACGTGACCATCCGTGATCCCAGGAAGGGGGTCACAGAATGAGAGGAAAGAAAAAACAACCCCTGCTGAGTGGGAATCAGAGAAGGCTTCTGAGCCAAGCCTTCAAGGAGAGCAGGGGCAGGAAACTGAAGCTGGCTCTAGGGTTGACCTGCAATTCCCTGGGAGGCAGAAGGGTATGGAGAAGGGGCTAGAATAAGGAGTTACAGCTGGGGCCACAGGAATCAGCTAGAGGAAGACTGTACTAGCCCCTTCCTAGGGCCCTGCAGTTCTGAGGACGGCAGGTCTCTCCCCTCCCCAGCTGGAGTGAACGAACACCATGACTACAGAGGAAAGAGGAAAATGGTACTCGGAGATCAGGGGACAGCAGAGGGAACTACAAGAGCTCATTCCCGGACAAAAAGGCACCCTGAGGTCATCCCATCCATCCCCCTTGACCTACACCTACATTGCTAACAGGTAAGTGAGACCAGTTCCTCCAGATGCCAGAAATTCTCAGCTACTCTTTCAGCAAATAGTTGTCATAATTCACTCCGTCATTCATTCATTGGCTTACTAAGAACCTACATCAGGCCTAACCGTTGTTCTGAGGCCTGTGGCTACAGCAGTGAACAACGTAGATGACAAGTCATCTGTCCTTGTGGACTTCACTTTCTAGGGGATATTTAAGGCAAAAAAACAGCTAAGCCAGAGAAGTTCTGTAACTTCAAAAGAGAAGGGGAGGGAGATCCTCAGCCTAGGGGAAACAGTCTGGGGCCTCCGGCTCTTCTGTCCAGATCTGTATTACCCTCCCTAGTGCTCCAAGGGAGGGAGTGTGGGCATGCTGGGGCCAAGCAGGAATGATGGATGGAAAAGAGCAGGAGCTCCACAGGCAGGGCAAACGGGCCCCAGGAAACCAGGGGGCGAGAGGAAGTGGGAGTGGGACCCCAGAGGGTAGGATGAGGCAGTGAAACAAAGGAGGGGGACAGTGGGGAAAGCAGAAGAGATTAGAGAGAGAACCTGTTGTGAGGAAGGAGGACAGGAGGGGTGGCGAGAAGCTAGAAGAGGGAGGAAAGGACAGGGCCTGACCTCACCTGCACCAGGTAGTGCTCAGGGGTGGCATCTGAGAGCCGGCCCAGCTTGTAATGGGCCTTGAGCAACTCATCGTGGATCTGGAACTCCTCCTTACAGTTGTACCTGCCAGGGGCATATGGAAACCAAGTCAGGCAACCTCTGCAGCCAGGGTCCACTCCATCCCTCCC